AAATTATTATTATAAGAAAAAAATGACAACGTAAAAATAATGTATAGTTTTGATAAATAATATTTGATACGACAATAGTTGACACTGTAAACTACTTACGTGATTATTTTTCATCCATGTTCTATAAACTGTTCTATAAGCTTTCGATAAACTTTCCTCATAATTTCAATAATTTAGAACATTAAGATTACTATATTTTCTAAATATCTATCTATAAATATACATCGCATTTGAAGATCACAAAGGAAAGAACTTGATAAGTCAAATTTTCGTAATTTTAGAGGAGAGCAATTTTAAAGTTCGAAAACATATATGTATTTCTGTGTTACACGTTTTATAAAAATGTTTATATCTCGGAATCTATCAAAACTTTTCTATCAAAACTTTTCCTTTTTCGCTTTGGATAATTAAAATACACTATTTTAACTACCAAATAACATCAAAAACAGAAAATCGAAAAAAAATTGACTTATCAATTTTTTTCTCTGTGGTTTTCAATTTTAACTAACGACTCTGTACTTGCTGGTTTTATTTCCAATTCGCGGAATTGCGCAACAAAAGTCACAATGCACGAGAATTACGCCAGATTGCAATTTCCAGTTGGATAATTTGACCAAATGTAATCAACATGTTAGACCTCAACGAGAGCAATCGAAAAGCGATCTTATAGAAGTTTTCCCATAAGGTTTTATAAATGCAACCACGCGACTATCTTGTAGTTAGTACCATTTAAAGTTTTAAGCATCTTATCGTAGGAAAGATCGAATTACGCTAAGAAGCGAAAGTCTATAAATACTCTAAAAGTATCCGTTTAATCCTAAGGATCGAATTACGCGAGCATCGATGGTCGTGAATACTTGCAACTATTCCTATTAATCTAACAATGTAGTATACAGGGTGTCCGGAAAATCGCTCGCATTCGAGAAGTGACTAAGGATCTAAAAAGAAAGAAAAAAAGTTATTTAAACATAGGTCCGGAAATAAGTCGTTTCCCAGTTATAGCCACTTTTATGTTTAAAAATCATAACTCTTCCATAATCATAATTTATTTTATTGTGTTTTAACATAAGTAACTTTATTTCGGACTATTTTGATGAAAGAATAAGGACCTGTATTCGTTCTGAAAGTGGTCATTTTGAACATAAACAGGTATTTAAATCGAATTAGATATTATGATCAAAATGACCACCTTCAGCACGAATGCAGGTTCTTAGATCTGTTTCACACAAAGCGTTTTGTAATGCGCGTTTGTCAACGCATGTTGGTAATGACCATTGGATTGCCTATTGGCGATACACACATCGCGTTGGCAAAAACGCGCGTTTGCGTGTGTACGCAATTGCCAATAGGCAATCCAATGGTCATTATCAACGCGCATAGACAAACGCGCATTACAAAGCTTTGTGTGAACCAGGTCTTATTCTTCTATCAAAATAATCCAAAATGAAGTTATTTATGTTAAAACACAATTAAATAAATTATAATTATAAAAAAGTTACGATTTTTAAATAAAAGTGGCTATAACTCGGAACGACTTATTTCCGGACCTATGTTTATATAGCTTTCTTTCCTTCTTTTTGAATCCCCAATCACTTCCCGAAGTATTGCGGACGATTTTCCGGACATCCTGCATAATACATACAACTCACACTATAGTATAGTTTCTGATCAAACGAGTTTGTAAATCGGACGCTCTAATTCAATAAAAATAAAAGTAAATAGATGAAACTCTTTCAACTACGAGAAAATTGTTTTCTCGTCAATCGGCGAAGTTTTAAGCACCAGTTAAATGCCAGTGAATCTACGTCGTAAATTTCAATCAGAAGACATTACACACAATCGCGTGTCATGATATTTTTACCATTTTATATACATATATATATATTGAATAAATGACGCAAACACGACGAGCGTCATCGCACAGTTAGTTCGTCAAAAATTTATTGCAATTCAAAGTACAAAATATATAAAATTAAAATTTGTCGTAAAATTTTGATTGATACTTGCACTTTTATTTCTTCGACATATTACGTCGAAATTGTCATAGGTGTATTTAATGCGTTATTTAAGGAAATGAAATCGAAATCGTCCAGATTACATCAATCACGGCGCGCCCGAGTTAGACACGTGTGTCGATGATATTTCGTGATTATCGTATTAAGTGACTATGATTAATGGGATATGATGGATCCATTTCCAGACTGCTGCTTGACAAACTGTCGGTAGGATTTCGGAGCAATTACACGCGCGGATAGCCTCTGATATGTCAAAGCATCGAGAACGTGTATTACTCAATCGTCCAAAGACACTGGATTTCGGCATAAACGCGGTTTCGCGCATATGCGGAATATAGGGTACCTCTAAGGTTACCGCACGTTGCGTAAACTCCCGCTTTGGGGATTAGCGTATAATATATATGTGTCTCAGATTCGCGATAATGATCCGTCCCATTGATCCGCGCAACAAGCTTGCACGTTGCCTATATCACGTGTGAGAAAAAATGGTGCAAAACCGGCGCGAGTTTTCGAAAAATGAGAAAAAAACGTTATGAATGTTATTAATACGTTCTCGTATATATCGCGAAGGCAGAAAACAAAATACGGAGAAAACTGCAAAATATCACATTTTGCAAACTTGCTTGTCAACGTTAAACGCGCGCGATGTATTATTAGAAAAAACATTGTTTTCTTCAAAGAGTGTAACAACATACGTGATAACGAAAATTGAAATGAGACTGGAATCGTCGTGATGTGCGAAAAAGTAAAAGTGGAAAAAAAAACTTTTGTATTGTATTTCTTTGCTTCGGCGGCCACAAGGTGTGCTGAGTTTGATATTTCCAAGATCAACTTCTATTTCAAAGTTTTCTAATTAAACAGTTTCGACAACTGTCGTTTCCAACGAGAAAAGATTTTGCACGCGCGCAAATTGTTTGACAATCATAACTTTCGTCGAGATTCTTTTTGCGCGATACCCAATCTTTCGCGACGAGACTTCGCGCGCATAGATAACGAACTGGTGTTTCTAACGTCGAGATACAATGTATGCCGCATTACACGCGATGACGAAACCTTCTTATCGCGTTACGTTGGCTCTGCAAACGTATAATGTAATGTGGTTATGATGCCGGGAAAGTGCATAAGTGCAGTCAGGTGCAACAAAGAGTATGCATATCGTATACATGTGTGTGTGTGTGTACTTTATGCTGTATACATCCTTTGTGGTACACATCTGCCACCATATCGGTATACACCTACGCTTCAAAATACAGTGATGTATAATGTGGTATACAGCAGTGTTTTCTCTCAATTTTCGTGATGCGGGTGTCTGAAGGCTTTTCACATGTGAGAGCTCGTCCAAAACGAGCGTCACGTAATCACGTTCCGCGATGTATATAGCATTCTCTGTGAGAAGTGTGAAAGAATCACCGAGATTACGAATGAAATGCAAAGTGAATGTGAAACATACCGAAATTTTGTTTATCCGCTACATTAAAACAAAAAAAAAATGATCGCAATCGAATATTTTTTTAAATTATAAAATAAGTAAATTTGAATATTCGCTAAGAAAGAATTAACAACTAAGATACATTCGGATCAGCGAATATTACGCAGACGTTAAGCAAATTTTAGCGATTAAAATTCAAACCGGCTTCTGATTATCTTTGTAACCGAGTTTCTTTGAACGAAAGACCCAGGCTCTATTGGGGTTGTTCCGCGAGAGAACTTACAAGTAGAATTAAATGTACTATCAAAGACTACTTCTACAATAATACCTACCTATCTAAGGAAGAAGGAAGCGAAAGATACAGAATTATCTCGACAAAAGAGAAGCACTTGATATCTTAAGATTCCTATGTACGAACAATTGCAGCAGCGTCGCGCAACAACGCGCGAAATGATGGCGCTTATCTGTTTCGAGCACTACGAGCACTTCAGGCTTTTAATCTTATAAGCAGCATATCTTATAGTCGCTGTTCCACACAAAACAGGGAGAGAACGCGACAATGCCGAAAATGCTCGGTCTTATCGAGTTTCGCTCGCGTCGAGCAGACAACACGACGCCACCTTTTGAGAATTGCATCGCGTCGCGCGATGAGTTGCACGCGCAGCTTAAAGCATCCGGTTATTTTTCGCCCTGGCTTTCCTTCACACGGGACGTGTTTCTTTTCTTTTCCTCTTTACCTTCCCGTTCTCGCATTTATCTCGATCACAGTAACGCGCGAGTCGGCCACCGTTTCCACTGTCGAATGCCATCCTTCCGACGATGCGTTCAACCTGTCCAACACGGCGTTATTAATCGCCGTATCGTTTTAACCACGTTCAAGTAGAAAATTGGATTTCGTCTCTCGTGCGCGTGCGATACTTGTCGTCGGCATGCACGTCTTGATAAATCGTCATGAACTTCGTTACCGGTGTTATGTGTCAGCCGACCTGCCGCCGGCGTGATGTGTACGTGTACATTTATAATATTTTCAATCTACGTCATGTTTACCGTGTCGACGTAATAACACGCTAGAATGTACCGTTCATCAGGATATTAGCTTCCGTTAAATTAAACACCGTACATACATACATACGTACACGTCGGCAAAACAACAAACGGCGAATCGTGTGTCTACATGAAATATTGTTTACGTCATGCTGCATCCAACTCGAATAAAGTTCGCTGAGAAATCTTAAAGATTTTTTGTTGCGCTATTTTATGCACATCGTGAATGTTCGAAATTTCAATTGCAAAAATGCGTTTGCACAAGTATCTGTATTATATCACTTCGAGAGTAGAAGTGTTGTGTGATTTGTTCGATATGTAAAGTTAAATACTTATGTTATAACGTTTGAAATATATATATGTTTCCATAGTGCAAGACAGAATTGATTATTAATTAATAAAAGAATGTTTCCTCTGATGTAAAAGTTCCCTCGGTATCGCTTCTCTCATACATACTTTACAAACACTATGCGGTATAGTCGCGAAGCACTTTCCATTTGCTTTTATTGCAGCGAGAGAGAACGTTCGGCCGTAAGATGCAAGAAGGAGAAGATAGAACGAAAGAAAAACGTTTAATGTGATGTACAGTTCGTGAAAAAGCAAGAGAAAGCCGCGGAAAGAATTGCCGCACAAATGACGACGTCGTTTTCGCCCGCCGCAAAAACAATGGCAGGTAATATCTCGTACAACGATAGAATAGTTCAAGAATATTACAATAATGAGGGAACCCCATTGCTCTAAGTTAAAGTTAATATTAAATGATAACGACATAATAATTTTTACAATCGTTCACGTTGATCCAAATGAGTTAGAAGTTATATGTGAAAGAAACTGAATAATAAATAATTGTGTGTGCAAAATTTCCAACATTACACGTGAATAAAAGATTATTAATCGTGTGGTTTTGTGCGCGTCGCATTTTCTTCCGTCTACAATTTTGTAACATTATCTCCGCAATATTTCGTACTTTGCGTTTGAAAGCACGGAGATCGCTTGATTATAACATTTTCATAAATATTTAATTTAAAACATTTCAAAAAAACGAAGAAAAAACATCAATAATTTTAAACATTAAATTATTATCAGTCATCTGCTTGCGTGTAATTTGGTTTTTTGCAATATTCATACACACAAATATATTCCTGAAACATTGAATGTTCGTTTCAGCTTCAAATCAAAGAAGACGCGACGAAAAGAACATCCACTAATCTCGGAACATTCCGTATAATAAGAAAGCACTGAGTGCAAGAAATTGCATTTGAGGAGCATCTCGTTTCACGTACTCCTGCGGTTGATTCTAGACTACGACAGACTTTCTTGCCGGGAATTCAGTTTTTATTGCCCCTTCTTTCATGTGTCTTGGAAGCAAATTGCGTCCCAGCAGATACAGTCTGTCTGCATCAGGCGCAGCAGCAGCGTCTCTCAAAGTGAAATTCAAACGCCTGCCGCGGTCTTTTTTTTAGTACGTAATCCTTCCGCACTCATCATCTTAACTGTACCGACACATCCATCTGAACTTCTTTTACACATCGCGGCTGACTTTCAGCTAAGATAATCTCATCTAGATATACATTACATTAGTTCTTTGAAATTTTTTACAATGTTTAATTCGCGCGAATTACAAAAGATCTCACATTTTTTGGTACGTAATCTGTTGGTATTATTGAAAATATCAAAATATTTTATTTTTCATTAATATTGAAAATATTAACATATTTTCGTCTTTCGATTATTTATCATCTTGAATATCAACGTGTTCGCGCTATTTCGCTGAACAATGAAATATGTTATGCTTATGCGTAATGACCGTATTCTCTTCGCACGTCCCGGAATCGTAATAATAACGCCGATGAAGGGTGAAGCTCGACTGCGCGCTCACCATAAAATGATACGTAAACTGTTCGTTACATATAAACGTTGCTGATTCAAATCCAGCCTGATCGTGTTGAACACAAGCAGCATCTACCGCTATCGTGCGCAGCGTGCTGTATTTGTCGAGTCCGTCCGTATACACAATAGGAGGACCCTAATTAAGATCAGACGGCCGATACGCCGCCGGTAGAATAAATCGAAATCGTGTGTACATACATATCTCGCTAACATTATCAAGGCTTCGTTAAACTTTGGATAAAAATTGAAATGACGGAGAAACGAAAATTAAGGGATGTACGTCTGTATGTTTAAATAAAAATCTGTCAGTTATATGGCTATAAAAAAAATGTGAGAAGAATTTATGAGATAAATAAATCGCTATGGCGTCTCTTTCATGCCGCTCGTTACATTTTTCTTGATGTGTTAAAACTGGTACAGAGTTTTGTGTTTTTTATTGTTGTTTTTCTTTTTTTTATTGTTTTTCTTTTTATTTGTTACGTTTGTTCTATTTTTAACGCGCGAACAGCAAATGTTATTTATTTAAACAAATCGTGCGGAATAAATTTATTTCCGACAGAGAAAATTGGAGCTCTTAATTAAATGGACCTCGAAGCAGATGGACAGCATTGCAGATATGACGGACGAGCTGCGATTGCATTTGATAGGGAGTATATAGTAACCACCTATGCAGAGCGTTTAACTCTCATTTCGAAACACCGCCCCGCATATCATCTTGGTATGCTGCGTGCGCGCAATTCCGTTGTACCCCAGCATCGAAACATGCGCTGCATTTAGGGCTGTGTATCATCATAACAAACGTGTTGCTGTCGCGTGCACTTCGAGCTAGCGCGTAGTGGTTTTTATTATTTAACAGATGCTTTTGCCGCGCGTATATATTATGTCACTGCGAACTCGCACAAGATCGAAACAAAACTCTTGAAAATTGCCCCGCTATTATCGCGCACATAAAACGGGTTAAATGCGCGCATAAATTCTTATTACAAAAATTTATTACAAAATACAACTGATGCGAGTTGCGATCTACGCATTTTATGAAAGCTTTTCGCTGTTTATTAAATAAACAAAAATTTACAGCGTTATTTTTTACCGCCAAGAAAGAGCGATGTGATATAAAAAATTATAATATTTTTTGCAGAATATTTCGTTTTTGCAGAAAAAACACGACATCATATCTGTTCTAAAATCAAATAAAAATTATCGTGCGACAAAAATACATGCAGTAAATAAAATGTACAAGTAAACAAGATAAAAATCGAGCCAGATGCAAACCATGAAATCTGTGACGTCTATGTGCGAGTATCTATGGTAAGTAGTCTGTCTGAAAATCGCAATCGTGCTCGCGCGTTACGATACAAGTGAACAGAATTTTACTCTACCGCGTCGTCGGTCGGCACGGTGCGCCTCTATGTTGACGTAAAAAAATATAGTTGTGATCGACAGAAGGCGTACTGGTCATACGAGACCGTTACAAATAACGCTTGATGTTTTACGTCGATAACAATCTAGGTCACGCTCGAAGATTTCACTTATTTGGAGAAAAAGTAGATTGAAGTTGTACAATTTTACGTAGGAGTTGTATAGCAAAACCTGCAAGGGCAATTTCCGATAAACTGACATCGTCAAATTTCAAACCTTGAAATCGCTTTTCTGCCTGGTGCTAACCGTACAAATAGTTTGTTTTTTTTTTTTTTTATGTTAGTAGATATATTTTAATTTTTTTCTTTTTCATAACACACATCGTATTATTAATACATATTTTACATAATGCTTGTGTTATATTTAGATGAAATCTGGCGCAGACACATTTATTCTCATTACTTATTTTATGCTTACGTTATACAATACAATACAATTTACTTGAAACGCATTATTTTGTGTACGATTGTAAAAAATCTTTTTATTTTATTTTATTTTCTCATGATACATTTTTGTTTTCTCTTATCATTTTACTCACCCGTAATAGGTAAAAAAAATACGCTATATATCGATTCGATGTAACACATCCACATATATCTTTTGGTCCGACATGAGGGGAGCATATACGGCCTTTAAAGGTCAGACAAGCGCAACCTGAGCACTACGTCAATTTTCGCCAATAAATATAGATCTCTGTCAGTGCGAATAATTAATATTGATGAAAATATTTGATTATTCTGGCTTCGATGGTCAATGGTCGGTTTGTTTCGCGCTTTATGCAATTTTATTGCCGCGATAGAAAAAAAAAAACAAACGAATTACGGCAACCACGGATGAAGAAAATTGACGTTGTCATTCTGTCTGACACGCGACGTCTTATACTACTTGAAGTATAATGGATGCGTGCGCGCGCGTCGCTAAAGTAGAGAAACTAACGAATAACGCGGACTTGGATCGGTTTCGTGATCCAAGGTGTTTCTGAACAATGTCTGTCACGGTAATAAGATTCGTACGCAACAATGTTGATTAAAACCTCTCTTAAAACTCACTTATAAGACTTGCGTTAAGATTAACAGCATATCGGTAAGGTATACCATCTCTGTGTTATATCCATCTCGTGTTCTGGGGTTCGCTATCCAATTTCCAGTTCTACGCTTGGTGTACGCCTATAGACAAAACGGATCTACATGTCCCGTCGGATTTAATTTAAAGTTTGTACGTTTCATTTCGCCGTTTGCAATGGAATTCTTTACGCACGAATGAAACTTTTAACATTTACCGCGAGCAAACGGCTCGCCGGCGGAAGTTTGGCGCGCAAACAAAGAATCCGCGGGTGTCGGGACCTAGGAGGTCGGTCGGCGAAGTTTCTCCCAGCCGGGTGTCGCTTGTTCGCATTACGATTCACGAGCGAATCCTCGGAGTATACCGGCTGCAATTTCCCTTTTTAATACGGGTTACGGCGATACGCGACACGCGATACGCGCGACGCTGTGCCCTTTGCATTCTTGATGTCACGCGAGAACATACAAAATGCAGGTACTATCGCTGCTTCTTTGTCATGCTTTTTTTGTGGCAATTTTTTTCCACTAATTCGAAACGTTCCCGGGTCTTTCGAAAAAGCGATGCAAAATACACACATTTAGCTTTTTATTCGTTTATACATTGCTTCCTTTGTACCAAATATGTCACATTGTTGCATTACAGACAGGTATTCTCTTTTTCAGTTTTAAACTTTTTATCTTTATAATAATATATATACACATATGTATGTATATATACACACACATATATACATGTGTATACAGAGTGTCCCGCAATTATCGTATTTTCATTTTTTATCAGCAGATTCCCGAGATCATTTTGAGACAAAAATTCTAATATCAAAATGTCGAGGTTATAATATGTTTTGAGTTATAAACATTGGTAGATAACGAATCAGATTGTCTGAAATTCGCTCAGGTGCGGTACAATCATAGATACGTGTACGTGTAAGAGAAATAGACTGCGTGTGTGAGAGGAGAAGTGAGTCCAAGCGCAGAGCGAGATAGACGCTTTCATTCGTGTCTCTGTCTTTTAGTATCTGGAGTGGGGATTTCCCGCTCGAAAGACAACTCAGATAACTCTACCATAACAACGGATGCTATCGATTTTTGTTAAGGATCGTACTGCTAGCATACCGCTAGACGCTATTTTTTGTAGTTTTTTACACTCAATTATTTCTTTAAATTTAAACTAATAATCTTTTAAACACATATTGACGGATTGAAATTAACCTACACGTAACTATATTTATCGACTGTCAATCGACTACTGTTACTGTCGTTTTTTTTAACGCTCGGCGCTCCTCTATCGTGCGACTACGAT